TCTGTGGTGGTTCCTACCTATCTGGCGCGCCCACAGGTGGCTGATTGCGAAATGGCACTCAACAGGCGCTAGCACTCAGGTGAAGGTGCGGAGGGCCAAATTCTGGTACACAGTCTGCTTTATGAAATGCCGCCAATCCAGAGGACGACACTGTAACATCAAATAAGTTTAATTGCCACCGCTGTCTTATGGTTATATTCTTGAGTCAAAGCACTAGAGGAGACAGTCTCGAACAAACACTTCCAGTTGCTGTTGGGAAATTGCCCGTGTTCACAATTCTGGACGATCATAACGAAAAATTACCAACTACGGTATTACGATCCATGCTACGGCATCCCCGGTCCTGTGGTGAAAGCGAATAGTATGCGAGTTGGATTACTTAACCGGCAATGTATTCCTGCTATTGGGTGCTGTAATGTGCGAAACTTTGTCGATCTTAGTATTCAAAGTTGGACGCAACACACTCTTTGTCAGTACCACGCGAATCTCCGCGGCCTGTCTCAAGTCCGAATCCCCACTGAGGCCAGAGGGAAATAGAGATCCCGGGTGTCAACTCCACCTTCACTCTGAATCACGGCGGCCCACGCGACTCTTCTGCTACTAAAATGTGGCTACTGTTCCCTCTCTGAACAAGCAAACCGTGCACTACGTTCCTGGCAATAAGTCGATCTCCGGCTGGCTTACATGCGACTGAAGGGTCACTTTATTAACCTCTTTGTCATCTCCTTGTACGCACCAATATCAGCTGCCGAACAGTACGATAAGCAGATTGTCTGCTCGCGGCTACAGGAGTTAGTTATCAGACCCCCTAGCTACAGTCTGCTGATTGATGTCGGGGGCTGGAATGACCGTACTGGACCCGGCGACTCGTTAAACAGTTACCATTTTGAGGGTAGCTCTCGGTGCGACCATGACAAGAGAAAGCTGCCGACCAGAACCACATGTTTGTCAACACTTGTCTATCCCAGACCTAATGACTGCGGTTTCTGTGTTCGAGAAAGCGCCTGTACCCTCCCTTCCAGTGAGTTCCTCTAGAGTTATTAGTTAGAGGTATTTCTTCCCCCTCGTGCAGTTGTCTTTATTTATACTCGCCGAAATTACCATCAAACTCTACAACCAAGACGGAAAGGCGCTACAATATTATCTTGTCATAAACGTGTTTGCGGAAAATGTGTCTTTCGTGTTGGCCAAGGGGAGGGGGTATGAGGTGATAGACTTAAGTGTGTGGTGGATACCGCGGCCGTCAGTCAGGTAGACTCTTTTGGTTTTTTATATAGTCGACAGGGTGGAGGTTAAGTTAGACCGGCCGTGCGCACCGTTTCCTCTCTTAAGTTGAGCATCTTAGTTCTATTTTAATGATTTAAAAGTTACGATTTTGAAATTCGCCAAACAGTCGCACACATCGGTCTTGTACCTACTTGAAACGGCTCTACCTTATAGCTCCTCCTCCACGCTGCTA